GATTACACGTTTGCTTGCAGCTGGTAGTAGTCAACATGAGTCAACTACTAATCTTCAAAAAGCTGTAAGTCCTACAATAAGCAAAAAGGTCTATAAACATTATTTTCAAGCTTGTTAACTTCTAGGGAAGGAGCACAAAGACGTCTCAAACGCCTCAAGCCCAGCGATCTTTCAAATTAATCAATACTCTTAGAGTAGTAATTTGTTTAAGTCTTTCTTATGTTTCAACTAGTTGCAATGGCCGGCAAAATACGATTTAAAACGTTACCCAACGGATCGAAATCTAGAAGTTTTATATATACTCTATAAAACTCACACATTGACCGACAAATTCGGCAAAATATTTGTGAGAAAAACGAAAATCGTTATATGTGTTATAATATTGTGGGAGTTATATACAAGTATATGGTATTATGTATGGACCCGATTTCTATTTTTACCAATACCGCACCATGAAAAACCAATCATATAGAGTAAAGTCAGCCGAATGTTCGATAGTTCAGCTGTTTGTAATATAGGGGCTAGGTTTAGTTTTTTTAAGGAGGATAGAGTCATGTGTAGAAGTTCACGCAAGTGAGGAAAGTTCTCTGATCGCCATTCAATTGGCCAAAAGCGATTCTTTTACATATGACTCATGCAGCTCACGACCTTCGGTCGTGTATCCCAAGGTAGCCTGTAGGCAGCCAAGTATTCTCTAGGTAGCCTAAGAACATCCGCTTGAAGGCGAGCTAAAGTGACAAGGCCAAACATCCCCTACATAGGGTTGTGCGCTCTGTTTGGCACGAGCCATGTAAAATACACCCCCAATGAAAAGTAACAACGGATGAGAGATCCCCCTAAAGATGCCTTCTATGAGCGCTTAGAGCACACTTATGAGAACTGCCTCCGCCACGATGTCAAAATCGTGCTTGGCGACTTTAACGCCAGGGTGGGCAAAGAAGGTACCTTTTGCTCTTATTCTTCTTCTTAATTGGCGTAGACACCACTTACGCGATTATAGCCGAGTTAATAACAGCGCGCCAATCCTTTCTTATTTTCGCTACATGGCGCCAATTGGATATTCCAAGCGTAGCCATGTCCTTCTCCACATGGTCCTTCCAACAGAGTGAGGGTCTTTGGCACTACGGTCGGTAAATTCAGCTTCCACGACGAAATAATGGATAACAGATTCCAGCATAAGAACATACATCAAGCTACCTGGCTGTCTCCGCATCAAAAAACCACCAACCAGATCGATCATGTTGTGGTAGACGGAAGACACGTCTCTAGTGTTCTAGACGCGCGTGCGCTCCGAAGTCCTAATATCGACTCGGACAACTAACTTGTTGCATCCAAGATTCGCACCCGCTTCTGCGCAGCAAAAAACGCACGTTAACAAACACAAGAAAGGTTCGACGTCGAGACGCTGCAATCACAACAGATAGCCGAACGATTTTCTACTCGACTTGCATTGCCTGCCTCGAAATATTACGATCAACGCCAACACGTGCATAATAGGATATATATCGAGAATTGCGAAGGGGATCGAGACGCATTTGCAGCGAGAAAAAGAAAGAGGCGAAATGCGAGTTTGATAAGCTGGCCGACAGGGGTAATGCTCGAAAATTCTACGAAAAAATGCGGCACCTTAGAGAAGCTTTCAAGACCTGAGCATATTCTTGTAGAACTCCTAAGGATGACCTAGTGACTGATGCCCAAAACACATTTAAATTATGGAGGGAACACTTCTCCAGCCAACTGGAATTTAAGTACGCTCTGCCCAATCCACAAAAAGGAGAACCCCATAATCTGAGAAAACTGCCGCGGGACAAGCCTCCTTAACTTCGCGTATAAGGTTCTGTTGACTATTGATTAAAGCCCACCGTCAACAAACTGATTGGACTTTATCAGTGTGGCCTGGCAAATCGACAATCGCCCTGACGCTCACCATGCGAAAAATTTTGGTAAAGACCCCTGAAAGGAGAATAAACCCCTCTTCGTCGATTTCAAAGCTGCTTTCGACATCACGAAAAAGAGCTGACTTTATGCCGCGATATCTGAATTTGKCATCCCCGCAAAAGTAATAAAGCTGTGTAAACACACGTTGAGCAACACCAAATGCTCCATCGGGATCGGGAAGAACCTCTCCGAGCCGTTCGATATCAAACTAGGTTTCAGACATGGCGACTCCCTATCATGCGGCTTCTTCAACCCAGCAGCAGCTCGAAATAATTCGAGCTGTAGAGTGTACAGCTCCTGGCGTATGCCCATGATATTGATATGTATATATAGAAACACAGTTCCTTAACAGTCCAAAACGTACAAAAGCGTTTATTCTTGAAGAGAGGTATCGTATAACTGTTGTAGGCAAATAAATGCCCGGTTTGACTATGTTATAGAAAATTTAATATTTGCTAACGACAGATTTATTTTCATTCAAGTTTAAAAACATCTCTGAATTATGAAATGTAATAGATTTTGTGATTGCCACTTCCAGAATAGCAAAATCGTCTCAAGTCTCAAAAATTGTCTCTAACTCTCTAACACTCAAAATCTCAAATTTAGAGACTTGAAACCGTATCACAGTCGCACGGTTAGCTAAGCATTATTTGAGACTGAGTAGCCGTTTTCATTTCACAGTCAATGCTTCATTTCTATAAAATTTTATTATGATATATGGAAACGTTATGGGCAACATATATGTTTTAGAAATGTCATCCATAAAACACTTAACATACTTTTAGATACTCCAAATAAATCTGCTACTATCCTTAACATACTTCGCGCGGAGAACTTATATTTATAGCAGTGGCGCTCATTTAATAACAACGCAATAAAAATCCAAACACGCGTGTTTGACTGATAATTCTGCTACTGCGAAAAATATCACACGCACACGAAAGCGGCTGAACACGTACGCTAGGTCAACACAAGGAATCGGCGTTTAGTTTCTATTGAGCAAGCAATATCGCATCGCGCATTTTTTTAAATACACTGAGAGAAACACCTCGAATTTTTAAAATGTTTTCAAGCGAATGGCAAGAAAATTATTTTTTATTGAAACTGATGAATGGGAATTTTTCACTTCCAAATTAATTCAAAATAAGCAAAGAAACAAGCTTTCTGACCAACATCTTACCGATCTTCTACGCATTAAGGAGTATAAAGGGGAAATCAATATTGATGATGTATTATCGAAACGAGCCATTTAGTCAACGACTTTATAAATTTTCAAGTATTACACAAAAATAATTCAATAAACATTTCTGATATTTTTTCCAAATTTGCCAATAATTTTTTCCCCTGAATGTAAATAAAAAAAAAATAAATACAGTTGAAATTTGTTCAGCGTACATGGCAGCGAAAATCTATAGCAATGTTTGTGCAGTGCAACGTAGGCGTGCGCACCACTGATTTATAGAGAAGGTTCACGATGTCGAAAATTTAGGGACATTTAAATTTTTGGGATATTTACTGTTTTGGATAAGCGGGTTGTACACTTGTACCGCATCATTCTGTTTCTCTTTGTGTGCTGTCTTTATCTTTGTTGTCTAACAGTGAACCCAATATTGTATTGTTTAAATAAATTAGAAAACTGRAATTATGGATATAAAGAAGAAAAGCAGTGGTGTATTTAAATGCAAATAACGCCAACAAAGAGAAGTTGTAGTGATAGTTCAGAATCTACTGAAGAAGATTGGACAATTATTGCAGTTGGTGATACCTCCGCCGCACATAGTCTCAAAAACCAGACAAAATTGTTTAAAGTGATTTTATGAATGAAAATGAATAAAAATGCATTAATAAATATAAATAAAACCATTAATATATTAAAATAAAACAAGTAAAAAAGGACTAATTTCTGGTGCAACCGAAAATTTTATATTGAATATATTTGAGAAAGGGGTAGTGCCGACCAGATTTTATATATACCTGTCTCTTATACACATCTAGATGTGTATAAGAGACAGGACTACGTTCAGGTGTAACCGATTATTTTTATTGAATATATTTGAGAAAGGGGTAGTGCCGACCAGATTTTATATATACTTTGCCATCCTAAATACCTGTCTCTTATACACATCTAGATGTGTATAAGAGACAGGGTCAAGTAGATGTCCGAAAATCTTGGTAATAGTTATATTGATGGTGGGGTTGTGTTGGAAAGGTCAAGTTTTCGCGCAATTGTATCTATTTTAGGCGCAAAGGTACACTGCTATGAATAAAATATGTTCTGCAATTTTCATTGAGACTTGACTCAAATATTGGCGGATATATCCAACATAACCTAGAAGTTCTAAAATCTTAATATTAAGTATATGGGGCTCAGGAAAGTATTGGCCCGATTCAACCCATTTTTGACAAAATGAAATACTCTTGCCAGAAAACGACACAGAATTCTTTCAATTTCATGTCTCACACAATGAATGATATTTCGGTGGCTTACTTTAAGGGAATTACTATCGCAACACTTTATTCCGTTATATTAGTTGATTCTTTATTTGTGTACTGGAAAGCGAAATAATCCAATGGAATTGTAAGATGTGTTATATGGGAAGTAGGCGTTGTTGTAGTCCGACTTCGCTCATTTTCACAGGGTGACACAGGAAAATGAAAGTAATGTTACGTTCCAAATTTTGTCGAAATCGGTCAGTCGGGTCCCTGCCACGTCCATTGTCCAATTTTTCCCCTTACTTTACTGCTTAATTGCCTACTCTGTCCAAAGTAGCACCTGTTGGTAAGAGTTATTCTGCGTTAGATTTCGAGGCTTACATTATTGTATGCYGATTCCAAGATAGACGAAATTAATATCTCAATGGAAAAGGAAATAAATAAATGTTGGAAAATATCCTCCGTTACCAAACTAATAAACAGTTTGTGCACATTTTCGAAGTACAGATTGAATTTTTCAAACATTTTAATTTCATATATGTAAATATATAAGTACACATGTTTTTTTTTTAATGTTTTATATATGGTTTTACTTCTTTAAAAATATGACCTATTGTTTTTAATTTTAGGTAATCCCACGCCCGATTTAGCTTGGTTTTTTGAAGACCTAAATCTGGAATACGAAATGGCTACTGACATTCTAAACAAATCTGTTCAAAGTGTCATTAAATTCGGACCTTTAAATAGAGAACATTTAAATGGACGGCTTACTTGTCAAGCCCGTAATCACCTAAAAGCTGCGCTAGTTCAGGCTATTGTACAAATCGATATGAACTGTAAGTAATGCAACCCTTGTTATCAATTATTGTATTTGACCTTAACCCTTTCGGGACTATTGGGATAATACATCCCAGCAAATTTCGAATTTCTGTATTTTCTTTACTATGCACTTTATTGGTTGTATAAAAACTCCCAAGAACAGGTTTAAGTATCGTCATTGCATAGTAAACAAAACCATAACGGTACGTTTTTGCATTTTGATGTCACATTTAACGGAATCTCATAATTTCACAAATTTTCATCAGTTTTGTTTCGTTTTTTGGCAAAATCAGTCACAATAAAAGCTTGATCATAAATTTTTAATTTCGCTTATGTTAAGAAGAGTTTAATAAGTGGAATCAAGCGATATATTGACCTTTTTTGCAACAAGAGGGTAAGTTAAAATAAATTTTATAAATGTGGGACCTGTATTCACTTGTCCCAATAAGCTTTTTACATGGGAATAATTGTCCCAATCTGCTTGGATACTGATTTTGAATACTCTGGAAACGAATACTTGCAAAATAGCAGCAACGAAGAGACTGAAAATACTTCAGAAATTGAGGACTGTGTTGATTATTTGCGCAAGTAGAAAATCGTGATAGTCTTGATGTGGTCCCTGGACCTTCCGAAGCAAACAGCGAGATGCATTTGGTTGCCCAGTGAGTAAATACTTTTCCCGATGATTGCCAGAACTTTACTCCAAAACATGCATTTCCTTCTGAACGAGACTGCCAAATTCTTATTGCCATAACTCCTGATGACAGCGAATTTGAAGTATTTTCAAAAATATTTCCATACAGTTTGTGTATTAGAATTACCCTAATCAGCGATTGGTCGCTTTGAATCGTCGAGCTCAATCACAAAGAAATATAACTGACCCAAATGAAATTCTTGTATTTCTTGGTGTTTCATTAATAATGCATTACAAGAAGTTGCCGTCCCTAATAGACTATTGGAGTAAAAATCCATCGATTGGAAACTCTGTTATAAAAAATTGTATCTCGCGAGACCGAAGCTTTATTTCAATGACTGCAATAGGCCCGACGACGTGTCAAAAGATGATTACATTTCTGATGTTTTGCAATGTCTTAAACATACATTCGCAGCTTCTCGAAGCGAAAGTATATCCCAGTCTATCGATGAATGAATGTTCAAATTTAAAGGCGGATCGAGCATGAAGCAATATATGAAAATGAAACCAAGAAAACGGCGAATTAAGTTGTGGATGCGTTGCGACTCAAAAATATTATATACCTACGATCTAAATGTTTATACTGGTGAAGTGGTTCTCTTGGATAAAAGGTCGTTCTTAACTTAGCTTCTTTCATTCGTGAAAAGTATATTCGTCTAGCCTTTGATCGCTTTTTTACATCCATAAAACTATTAGAGACAATCCTATATCCTGCCGATGAGATATTTATTTACAATAGAAAAAAAAATACACCTAAATTTACTATGAAGTTAGCCAGAGGAGAAAGTCAGTTTCAAGTTAGTTCCAGTGGAATTTTGGCAGCCCGCTGGATGGATTCAAACGAAGTATTTTTAGTTTCAAACTGTTACGTGGCATCACTTGAAGAAATTCACAGAAAACGAAAGGACGAATCAAAAAAGAAAATACAATGTCCAAAAAGTATTTTTGACTATAATAGAATCATGGCTGACAAGAAGACAGCCGTTTATGATTTCAACCGATAATCTCAAAAGTGGTGGAAAAAAGTCACCACTGAAAGACTTTCTGGTCCCACTTGCTGAGCAAATGATTTCGAAAGGAAGCAAAAGGCGCGAAGTAATGTCTCGTCGACAGGGACCAGTAGACCACACAAACGCTCAAGAACTGATGGCCTTAATATTCTTGGCAGTCGAGTAAGAACAGCGTTGTCGTTACGTACGAATCTCGAAACTCGAACAAAAATAAATTGCTCAGGCTGTATCAACGCGCTCTGCTTCAAATGTTTTGGACCATGTCATCAATAAGTTATCAAATACATTGTATTAAATCATTTTTGTTCGAAATAAAGCTTATTATTTTATAAATACAACTTTTATCTATTCCTTTTATGAAGTTTTACAGCCAGATAAAAAAATTATTGGGATTTTATATCCCACAGAAAATGCTTATTGTGAATTTATGTCCCAGGATAAAAGGACGTTTTTGGAATTTTGAGTATGCAGAACATAGTTTTTTAGTCCAATATATATGTAGATATAAGCATAAATTTTGGTTGTGGCTATTCCCATTTTCCAAATAAAACTCCGTCCCGGAAGGGTTAAGATATGTAAATAACATAGGATTATTTTAGTATTATCAATATAAACGTAGTCAATGATTTTTTACTTTCCAACAATATTAAAAGCAACTGCACGTAACGCAAAACAAGTCTTTTGTTTTATAGGATGGTTCACAACTATGATATATATGTATGTCGTTTCAGTTTTGTTTCATACTCACACATCAAAAAATAACACGCTTCTTTCGGAAATAGAAAAACATTTCTTTTGTGACAACCGTATCAAGATGCACATTAAATACCATAAATGGTAATAATCAAAAGCACTTATTTCTCAAAAATTTTCGCTTAAGGGGTCGAATGACTTACTGACTTTGATAATTGAATCTGGAGAAAAAGAAAATATAATCGAGGTTCTTAGTTTCAGTCCATTTCATTTTTCAACAATAATAAAAAAGAAGCACTAGATATTTTTATTTTCCGTTTTTTATCATTTGTTTATTAAACTTAGAAGAGTACACAAAATAAATTAAAAAAAAAAAGTTTTTTCATCGAGTTATGCGTCTTTGAAGAAAAGGGGAGAAAACAGAGGCCGTGTCTTCGTCGCCATGATTTCTACCCTTGTCGTCATCTGAAAAATAAAACAATGACAGATTCTTAATGAGTACGAATTAGATTTTTTTCTTAAAATGGCGGCTACTCAAAAAAAAGGTCGATTTTTTAATATTATAAATTTCAAATTTTCAAAGTTGTTGAAAACGATTTCTTGAAAAGTCATGGACCGATTTACTTCGAATTGTAATGACATTTTTAAAATAACATTATCTAGTTATTTGAACGAAGGATTTTTTTTGTTACAACAAATTTTTTTAAGTTAATAAATGTCGAAAATTTGGCAAGAAAAGCGCAGCTTAAGTTGCAAATCGTCAACCAAAAGATCGGAATTCAAGCAATTATATATATAGAGTATATGGGTTTTGAGGGTGGTATCGACACGATTTTATCGATTTTGGCCAATTCTTCATACTATTAACATGCCACATACGAATAAAACGTTCCCTGAAAGGTACCTCACATTCCATCACGAATTGTATGGAGCTAGGTAAGCCGGATATTATGCATTAATCAGAACAACACTCTCTTTCATTTTGCGCGGTGCCACGCCGGCTTCTATTAATCCTCTCATATTATCTCGAGTTATTGATTTCTCGCATTTTTAGTAGGTTTTAACGGTACCATTATAAAGGGAGTAAGCCGGTCCATGCAGAGTGGTTGGTCTTGTATGGCATCAACGGCCAAAAATACTTCCACTGCTTATATAAAGTGAAATTTTTGCCTAAGCTCTTTAAAGTCTCTTTGTTTAACTCTGCAGCTTTTTTTGAGAGTTCTCGAATTGAAACTAATCCATATTGATTAACATCGGAGTGTTGAATTAAAATTTTTTGGACTGACGTAGGAAGATAGTATCAAGAATACTTTGTTGTTAATGGCTTTGTAGTATCTAGCGCAAATTTCCTAAATTTTTCCACATTAATGTTGTACCCTCATGTTAAGGCTTGTAGTAATGTTGAATAATTTTCAATAATTTGTTTTTTTGTGCCAGTTATTTCAGCAGATGTATGGGCACCGCTGAAAATTTTCTAGCAGTCTTTCCACCGTTTGAAAATCCACTACCACCTGCTTTTAGGTTATCGACTACAATAAGAAATTTTTACGAAATTCTCACTGAAATTTTGTTTCTTTCTCCGAAATCGTTCTTTGTCTTCTAAATCCCTTTGCTATTGCCTGATTTCATGTCTATAAGAAACAGGAAGAAAATATTAAAAAACTCAAATGTAAACATGTAATGGAGACAATCCGAATTCATAGCGGCTTGTATGGACTTATTTTTTAAGTATTTATCCATACCATTATGCCCGCTTTCACAGTCCATACTTATATTGTACTTAAGATAAAACAGTAAAATAGTGTTTTACAGTTCATACTTATGTAATGCTTAAGTACTGAAAAGGGGAGACTTAAGCAGTGCTTAAATAACAGCTGATTTTTTGACAGTGACCCAGAATAAGATAACCTCCTGAATGTTATAATAATCCGACGAACAAAAGAAATCAGATCCCGGCCAAAGTTCTTCAAGCTATATGACGATAAAAATTTCCGCGACAGATTTCGGATTAGCAGAAAAACAGCCTGGAATGTGCATGATTGTATTCGACTACAAATGGAACACAAAATCAAGTGGTACATCTAACTTGCCTTCAACGACTCAATTACATAATTTATGAATCATGCATTATCTCCAAAACAAATGCTTTTACTTACATTGGGGTTTTATGCTACGGGAAGTATGTTGAGGACAGTAGGAGATTTATTTGGAATATCTAAAAGTACGGTATCAACAGCAGTTATAACAGTAGCTTCGCGCCACATAGCCCAATCAAAAGAACATCACATTTATATGCCAAAAACGGAAAGAGACCTAAAAAGTCCCTGAGAGACTTTTTTAAATTAGCTAAATTTCCTCGAGTGATCGCAGCAATTAATTGCACTCATGTAAAAATARTTTCTCAAAGTTCAAAAAATACTCCACTCAACAACTTTTTATATACTTTATAGTCTGATTCAACGTTTAATGTACCGTTGTCGGATTCTAAAAGACAAATTTCTTTGTAATGATTCTGGTATTTTCTTACTTTAAAATTCTTTACCATTTATTCTTTTATAATTTTCCACTTCGGTAGTGTTTTCGAAATCCACAATGCTTTTTAATGTATCTTCCTCCAATA